CCGGGCTGGGGATTCGAACCCACCACCTTAGGTGTATGTGGCTGGTGCCTTAGCCGCTTGAGCCACAGGCGCCGAGCCATGCCCAGCTATTTATAGAAGCAGGGTCTTGCTCTTGCTCAAGCTGGTTTCAAACCTATGAGCTCAGGCAATCCACCTGTCTCGGCCTCCCAGGGTGCTGGGATTACAGGTGTGAGCCACTGCACCTGACCTACTTCAGTTTATAAGGAAAAAAGAAAGGGAAATGGGAATAAAGTCATAGGATTAATCCATTAAACTATTAAATATTTGCTAAGAATCAACAGATAAAGAGCTGCTGGCCAGCTGGCTTAAAGTCTTAACTTGAAGGAAAAATTACAATGAGAAGCTACTCTTTTTTTTTTTTTGGAGACAATCTCAGGCTGTCGCTCTGGGTAGAGTGCTGTGGCATCATGGTTCACAAGTCTTGGGCTTAAGTGATTCTTTTGCTTCAGCCTCCCAAGTAGCTGGGACTACAGGCATCCGCCACGACACTCAGCTATTTTTTGGTTGCAATTGTCATTGTTGCTTAGCAGACCTGGGCCTAGTTCAAACCCACCACCCTAGATGTATGTGGCCAGAGCCCTTGCCGACTGAGCTAGGGGCACCGCTCGAGAAGCAACTTCTTATGTATTTATTTAGTTTTTGAGACAGAGTCTCACTTTGTTGTTCCTAGTAGAGTGTCATAGTGTCACAGCTCACAGCAACTTCCAACTCTTAGGCTTAAGCGATTCTCTTGTCTCAGCCTCCCCAGTAGCTGGGACTACAGGTGCCTGTACAGCACCTGGTTTTAGAGACAAGGTTGCACCTAGCTTAGGCTAGTCTCGAACTCATGAGCTCAGGCAATTTGCCCGCCTCGGCCTCCCAGAGTACTGGGATTACAGGAGTGAGCCACTGTACCTGGCCTGAGAAGCTACTTCTTTATGGCAGAAGCTTTTAGGCTTGAGAACATAAAAGACAGGGCTAAAAACAAATATGAAAAGGCGTGATTTTCCACTCATTCCCCAAGGATATAAGGAGAACTAGGTTATTAGCACTTTACTAGCTCAAAATCTAATTTCAAATGAGAAAAAAGAGACACACAAAAATGAGTTTCAAATATAATATTAGCTGAAAATTAACAGTTTTGAGCATTTTCTATGTGGCAAACAATAAACATGGCACTTTACACATTATCTGATTTAATTCTCAGTATAAATCTCTGAGGAATATACTATTTTAGCTCTATTTTACAGAAACAGAGGCCAGTACTTTAAGTAACGTGCCAGGGACACACATTAGGAAATGTAAACGCCAAATATGAACTTTGATAATCTAACTTCAGACCCAACAGTATACAGCTATACCATGGTTCCTCAATAGCAGCACTGTCACTTGGGTCAGATAATTCTTTGTTATGGGGGGAGGGGCATATGACTGTTCTGTGCACCGCAGGATGAGTAAAAGCATCTTGGTCCTCTACCCACTAGATGTCAATAGCAACACCTCTCTCCCTCCCCCCAAATTTGTGACAACTAAAAGTTTCTTCACACATTGCCTAATGTTCTCTGGAGGGCAAAATCCCCTCCACCATGAGAATCACTCAACTATACTAAAACAAAAACAGAGACCCAACCTAAACCTTTCCTGCTTTTTTTTTTGAGACAGAGTCTCACTTTGTTGCCCTGGGTAGAGTGCTGTAGCATCACAGCTCACAGCAACCTCAAACTCCTGGGCTCAAGTGATCCTCTTGCCTGAGCCTCCCAAATAGCTGGGACTACTGATCGCCACCACAACACCTGGCTATTTTTTAGAGACAAGATCTTGCTCTTGCTCAGGCTGGTCTTGAATTCATGACCTCAAGCAATCTACCTACTTTGGCCTCCCAGAGTGCTAGGTTTACAGGCACTCTGGCTGAGCCAACATGCTCAGCCCCTGCATACATTTTTATTCACTTCTTTAGTCCTTGTCTCACCAAATGCCCACAAAATCTTTCTGCTGATAACACTCACAAAATCAAATAGATTTGTTTTTCTTTTTTTTCTTTTTTTTTTTTTTGAGACAGAGTCTCAAGCTGTCCTCCTGGGTAGAGTGATGAGGCATGACAGTTCACAGCAACCTCCAACTCCTGGGCTCAAGCGAGTCTTCTGCCTCAGTCTCCCAAGTAGCTGGGACCACAGGCGCCCACCACAACACCTGGCTATTTTTTTTGGTTGTAGTCGTCACTGTTGTTTGGCAGGCCCGGGCTGGATTCGAACCCGCCACCTTGGGTGTACATGGCTGGCACCTTAGCCACTTGAGCCACAGGCGCTGCGCCTAGATTTGTTTTTCAAACTGAAGAAAAGCCAGTGTTGGAATATGTAAAGGGATTGACCACATTCCTTTTCCCTTCAAGTTATAAACTAACTGAGACATATACACAGAAATTAGGAATCAAAATGCCAGTTTATTGCCAATAAAGTTAAACTTGAGAGCATATGCAAATACAAGGAGAAACACAGACCTGTGTGCAGATTTTAAGAGAAAAAGTGAACTCTTTTTCAGTCTTATTTAGAAACCATCCTGCCGGAAAGCTCTTGGGAAGTTAGAAAGGTACAAGTTCTCTTCTACTAGTAGAA